CACTGACTTTATGTAGAAGTTTTCTTTAATCTGTCCCGGTGCAGCTATATAAATGAGATGCGTTGTGAATGCAGCACGCATAGAGATTTCCCATCTTCTGAGCACTTGCCAAGAAGTTGCCAGCTAATGTCAGTCAGGGGAGGTGAGGCTTCTTGCCACATGTCAACCTGTCATCAGGCTGGGTTTGCAGTGTGGTGGAAAATATGCACCTCAGTTCCTGAGACCTCCCTAAAACAGCGTGATGCATGTGACCTGCTCCCAGAATGATCTACTGCAAATGGATTCTGCAGCCTTCTGAAGAGCAAGCATTTGTGATGCCAAATGACCATAGTGCCACCGCTGTTGCTAGTGAAAGTTTAAGAGTGGTTGCTGTAGGAAGATGTAGGATTGGGTCCCTGATAAAATACTGGGCAATACATTTCTGTAAAAAAATATTTCAGCATGGTATTTTGTATAGGACTGCCTAGTTTTAACTGCTGTACGGATTTCAGTCTTGGATGTCTCTTCAGCTTCCACATGGGAGGGTGGAGGACTGGTCAGTATTCCCCAAAGTATTTTCTCTGTTGGCTAGCTAGGAGATGTAAGTGCATTTAGGAAAAACACTTCTGAACTTTCATTTTAATCTCTTCATGCTATTCAGTAATACTATTATACACAGTTCTGTAAATCTGTGAAAATGCAGATTTGTTGTTGATTAGCTCTAACTCAGAGAGAAGTTCTTTTAAATGATGCTCTGCTGTCTGAAGCCACTTCTCCTGCCATGTTTGTTTCTTTTATGCTCATAGTGGTGTTACCTTTCAAAGCAAACGAAATGAGTGTTTTCTCTCACATCCTCTCTGACTTAAAAATTCCACCATGTCCTTTAATTTGACTCTTTGTTCTAACCTAAGTGATATATTCTGGTGCATGTTGTCCTTCATGAGGTATCTTTCTCAGGAAACAACCATTATACAGGCTTCCTGTTTCTGGCTTGATTTTCACTTAGAGGCTAAATGTGACATGCATGTGTAACTGGAAATGGATTTAGGAATGGGTATGTTTGGACCATGCAAATGCTTTACACGCCTGTCTTCTTCCACCCCTCTCAAACGCATACACAGATTTACTGTTCAAGGTATCCCACTACATGATAATATGTCATTTATTTTTGCAAGATGAATGAGATGGCCCAGTTGAGAGAGGTCTGATGGCAGCCCATTTTGCTAGACCCAGTAATGTGCAGAGAGAGGTTTTTCTCAACATCTGGCAAAAATGTTTGAGGCTGATTTTCATTTACAGCAGGAACTGGATTGGAATAATAACCCAAACCAGTTCCAGGAGAGGTGGCGTGAGCCATCTGTTCCAAGTCACCTCCTATGTCATGCCGTATGCCTTTGGACTGAGTATCTTGACAATATGTCTGGTTTTTTGTGTAGTTTAAATGCTACAGTCCATTTATTTCACACTGCGTGAGAAGGTGGGCATGGTGGTGATTACTAAAAGTAAAGTATGATGAAGTAGTGATGCAAGATTACAAGTAAGATGTAGCATTGAGTAAGGATGCAATTGTAAGAGTTTCAGCCAGGCAGCTACGGCTCCTTTGTCATTTTAACGCTAGGTGCTCTTTCACCACTCTATCTTCTGGATGTATTTCCAACAGCAAAAGAGGAGAAAGAAAGAGAGAGCAGTAAAATCCAGAGAAACATCACAAATCCATAGCAGCTGCTTGTATTGTTGCAGTGGAACATACTGTTAGAAGCATTAAATAGCATAATGAAGAGTTGTGGGTGTGGAGGGTTTTTAAATTTTGTCTGCTTTGATGAAAACAACTCACTGTATATTCAGAAAAGTCCACATACTGGGAGATGTCTAAATCACAAATTTTATTATGGATTATCTAGACCAGCCTCATTCCTTTTTAATGGGTAAATTAATGCTTCCAGCGTATTAATTTGAGCACAATAACTGCTCAGGTACTTTCATAGTTAGCTTTTTCTAGATGATGTGAGATATTTAAAGAATGATTTATTTTTTTCACCTTCTTTGCAGCTGGGTAAAGGCTGCATTGACATCAAAGACTCTAAGGAAAATCTGTACTGCTTTTTGGATCAATGCCTAGCAAATTTAATGGAAATTTAGCTACAGCAAAGTCCAGAAAGAGTTCATTGTTTATTTAAACTGTTTCTGTCTTAAACTACTCTTTTATACCTCATAAATGACCAAAGGCTTTTATGGTCAGTACTACAGTTAACTTGTATTGTTTAACATATAGCACTTGCGTGGAGGGTGATGTATTATATATGACAATTTTATTTATTTTTTTAGTAACTGTATTCATTTAAAAAAAAAAAAAGTGACAGAGCTTTTTTAGAGATTCGTGTTGTTTCTCTTAGTTGTACTTCTTTGGATTGTAAAACAGGCAGACCTCACAAACTTACCAGGTCTAATCAGTGCCTGGGTGGAAAATGCAGTCCGACACCAGATGCCTGATGGGTTGTCATCTCTAACTCTTTCTACAGTTTTACCAGAAGATTCTTTTTTTCCCTTTCCTAATCAGAACTGTTTCTCTATAGAGAGTTGATGAATAAGTTAGACAGACAAAGGGAGAGTGAAAGGTAGATCTGATGATGGACTATGCTATATAGATAAGATACAGCTCAATCAGAATTAATTAGCATGGTGTAAGAAGAGGGTAAGTTTGGTGACTCTACACACAGAAATTTAAGCTAGCATGACCATAATGGCTCCTTATTGAAACTTGGTTGTTAACATGGATTTAATTGCAAGATTTCAAACATTTTCTGTGTGCATACAGTTATGCATTTTGAAAAGGTATACATTCTTCATTTATGGGACCACGCACTCATACTGTGCATTTCAGGAGGAGACAAACTTAAGATATCCTATACCTGTGTGTGAACTGAAGGAGAATGTTTTGGAAGTCCTTGGGCAGCTTTGGAGATGCAAAGTGCTAGAAAGGGAAAAAGTTGTTTCACTAAGTGACTGTAGGTATCTGTGAATATTTATATAATTATCTTATATTCTCTGCCCCTTTCCTATGATGCCCTAGTTTTCATCCAGAATTTTCAGAGAAAAATCTCAGTCTCTGTTTTCATACATGAATGCTTTTCATAGCACTGTATGGAAGATTGACTGTTGCTGTATTGCACATACAGCCTAATACAGAGTACTTTTCCTTGAAGCTTGCCTGTCCCCATTTTTGTGCTGATTCAGACTGACTTGTACACTAGATATAGTTCTGACTGGGGCTAACATTCAATTTACCAGACATCTACTTTGCAATAATAGGTTAAAAGTGTGCCTTTATGCTTGTAGCTGTTACTTATTTGAAGATTTGTCACTTCATAATCTAGCAGTTGAAACATTTGTTTTGATGCTTACAAAATTAGCAATTTAATTGTCTAGGAATGTATTTTTAGGTCTGCTTTGAGTTTATGTTGTTTCAGGTGTCTGAGCATGAATTCTGGTCCGGCTGCAGCTACTGAAGATTAATTGCTGCTCTTTTTTTTTTTGATGCTGCTGTCACAAGACTTTGTTTTCTGCAACATCAGTGTTTGTGACATGAAGGCTGAGCAGCTTCTCATATTTTCCTTAGTTCTCATACCCTGGCAAATGCTCATCACTTCACACAAAGCATTCAGTCTTTTGCAGATTCAGGCACCATGTAAAGAGACTTTCAGCCTGGGGCCATGATGAGCAAGATATTTTTCCTTATGCAGTAATGAGACAATTTTCCTTGCTCTTTAAAATTTGTTCTAACAACTGAATATTGAAGGAAGCTAAAACTTTCTCATCCTTCTTTCACCATCTTCTTGCAGTCTCCGTGCTGCACTCCCACCTCGGGTGATAATGCAAAATATAGATTCAGAAAAATGTAAACTAATATATGGTGGAGAGAGACCTACTTTATCTGTATCATTAGAACAACAGTACCAAAAACTTGGCAACAGATATTTACACTTCTTGAACATGAGCAGCAGTATTTGCATTGAAAAAAGAATTGGGATTGCATATGTATTTCAATTTTTTTTATATGGAAGTATCTGCTTATTAAGACTCATTGTGATAACAAGATTTTATCTGACTCCAAATTTTTCAGTGAAGTCTTGTTAATCAACCAAAGCATTAATGGCTTCTGAAGTTGTTTGCTGTTTGTTTTGTACTGAAGTGTTTTACTCCATGTTGGAACCTGTTGGATAGTATTATCCACCCCAGAAGCATGTCATTACTGCTTATGTCCACCAGAAAAAATTCATGAAGGAGTACATTTAATAAGAAAATAATTAAGATATGGGATGTATAGAACTGTGTCCAGTGCTGGGCTACCCCCTATAAGACAGACATGGACATGCTGGAGTGAGTCCAGCAAAGGGCCACAAAGATGGTGAAGGGCCTGGAGCATCTGCTAGAAGAGTAGAGGCTGAGAGAGTTGGGACTGTTCAGACCAGAGAAGAGGAGGCTTGGGAGGGATCTTACCCATGTGTAAAAATACCTAATTGTAGGGGGGAAGAAGACAAAGCCAGACTCTCCTCAATGGTATTTAGTGACAGGACAAAAGGCGATGGGCACAAACTGAAATACAAGAAATTCCAAAGATAAGAAAATCTTTTTTACTGTGAGGGTAGTCAAACACCGGCACAGGTTGCCCAGGGGGGTTATCCAGTCTCTTATTGTTGGAGATAGTCAAAACCCAACTGGACACAGTCCTGAGCAGCCTGCTCTAGCTGACTCTGCTTTAATGACCTTGCTAGGTAACCTCCAGAGGTCCCTTCCAACCTCAACTATGATTCAGCACTGCTTTTTGTCATGAAGTCTTACCCAAACTTCAATGGCATTGTTTGGAGTTCTGCTGGATATTTTTAAAGCTTTGAGATCTGTTCATAAGGATGTGAACTTCTGTATAAAAGTTGTTTGTCGTAACTACAATGACTTTTTTTAACATCTCTTGAGAAATCGTAGGGGTTGTTAACTTCATCTGCACATTGTCTTTTGCCCCTCAGGAACGTTTCTTCTCACCAAGAATTCGTCGTCGACTTCATGCTGTTCTAGCATCTGTTAGCACTTCGATGTTGATTTTATCAAATCTAATATTTCTTGGAGGAAATCACGTTGGAAAAATCTACTGGAACAGGATCTTTATGGAAGGCAAGTTTATTTTTTGTGTGCTTTCTAGATAACAGAACTTTCCAAATATTATCTTGAGTAGGGTGAGCCAGGCTCTTCTCTCAGTGCACTTACTGGGAGTAACTTTTTTTTCTGTTCCTGTTCAAAACCATCAAAAATCTGTCTGACAGAATCTAAATAACTATGCAGGCTGTGTGACTAAAATGAAACATTGACTTTCTCCCATCAAGTCCAGAAAGGGTTATCAGGCTTCTCTGTCAATGAAATCACTGAAGATTGAATAATTAACGTGTGACACATTAGCCAGGTTGGATTTTTTTTTTTTTTCTGCTCTGCATTTCATGTACATCAGTAAGAGTAGGCATACTAAAGCCAGCCCCATGGATTCTGTGGAAGGTTAGTGAATGAGATCTGCATAATACAGCATAAATGAGCTATTAAGTTTTTTTTTGTAGTGGATCTGTTGTCGGGTTAGGGACCTGCTGACTATTGAGGACAAGGTTTGAGGACAGGGGAACTTGGGGACAATATCAGTCTGTGGTGTTGCTGAATAAGCAGTATGCAGTGTTGTGCTGTGAGCTGACTCAGGAGACAAATCCAGCTTTAATTTTTTTTTCCAGATCTTAATGTAAGCAGGACTAGTTTACTTCTCAGGTTCTTATTGCTGCCAGAGCCCCACATTGTCAAATAAAGGTCTCGTAGAGAAGTATTTCTTCCTCATGAGGGAAGTACCAATAGGCTTCTGTGCTTAGAAGCACTCTCATACAAAGACCACCATTGTCTATTGCTCCTTCATGCAGTGTTTTGTCCTTTTGTTCCTTGTAATGGTTTAGAGGTCAGCTCTGGAGTTCCAAGGTCCTATGTAAGCATCCCAGAATAATGAAACTATTAAAGAGTAAGCTATGTACATAAAAGAAACGGTTTATCATCTTAGCTCAAGCAAAAAAACATTTAAACAGCCCTAAGAAAGGCACATTTTTAGCATAAAATGTAGTGAAGCTTTTTGTTAATACAGGGCAGGGAAGGCGGCGTGAAATACCTGCTCATGTTGGTTTTTGCTCTCAAAATGTAAAAGATTTGTTTTCCGTTTTCTTACAAAGGCTTCAGTTTCTCTTAAATTGTTTTTTCCAGTTTAGCTGACTAATAGTTTCAGTAGAAGAAAACAGCTGAGAGAAGAAGTTTGGAAGTAAAGTTAGATATGTATAGATATATATGTATATATATATAGTTAGAGATATATATAGCTAGATATAAATACAAACTAGGTTCGAAGGGGGAAGGGGACATCACCCAGCTCACTAGAGATGAGCCCAGGAGTGGCATGCCAGTGTTGGCGGTGAGATCGACAGCCCAGCTCAAGTGCATCTACACCAATGCACGTAGCATGGGCAATAAACAGGAGGAGCTGGAAGCCATTGTACAGCAGGACCGAGCTATGACTTGGTCGCCGTCACAGAAACGTGGTGGGACAGCTCGCATGACTGGAATGCTGTCATGGATGGCTACAGACTCTTCAGGAAAGACAGGCCAACAAGGCGAGGTGGTGGAGTTGCTCTGTATGTGAGGGAGCAACTGGAATGTATTGAGCTCTGCCTGGGGGCGGATGAAGAGCAAGTTGAGAGCTTATGAGTTAGAATAGCGTTGAAGGCTAGTGAAATCCCAAAGGACTATTCAGAACTATGGTCTTCAATTTAAAGTAAATTTAAGTGCTGGTCTGTAGGAGATGTAACAAAAATCTTTACGTATAGTTGGAGTATGCAATGCTAAAAGATAGAGACAAATAAATTTGTGTATAGTCTGCACTGTTCTGGTGAATTCAGTTCATCAACATATTCAGACCAAACTAAATACTACAGTATATATACTCTTTGGTCATTCCTTTGTCAGCGCAAGGACAGATGAGATGACCTAGCTGCTTGTCTTCAATGCAAGTTTTTGTCATTACCTTCATAAAAAATGAAATGGGGATTTCCTTGACTTGTTTGAAAAAGGTAAGGGTAGTGGTAGTGGGTGAGTGTTCTGTGGGGCAGGAGGGTGTTTGTTTTGGGTTTTTATTTTTACACTTTCTTTCTGGTGTGATGCAAGCAGTATGAAGTTCCCATGCATGAAGATTTTCTCTTGTGCACTATAATGTTGGAGAGCTTTCCTTAGAACAGATGTTGACCGCCCACCACTGTCTTGTGAAGACTAGTCAAGAAATCTGGCAAAGGACCCCCAAATGTCTTCTCTACATAATATCCAAGTCTATGTCCTTGCACTTGGTAGACAAAGCAATGTTATAAAGTCCAGTACATTACTAAGATCTGCTGGCTCTGTATCTAGTTACTTTGAGTCAATAATTGTTCGCTTTGGGTCGAGAAGAGAGAAGATACTTGGTGAATTTCAGGTTAAAATATTAAAAATAATATTTTTGCTCTATTAAGAAACTTTTTGATCTGTTTGAAAATCATCTTAGTTTAGGAAGCCCAAGCAGGTTTTTGCACTGCTTGAAAACCAAATCTAGAGAGTAGACATTTGGTTTTGGAGGATATATTCACATTCTCAGCAATCTGGGTAGCAGGACTTGAGATTGATTGACTGAGGTGGCAGAGGGCTCTGCAGCAATAGAGTGACATAAAAACCCTCTGAAGTAAGGAATAGAGAGCTGTGGAAACAAGGCTGTCCACCTGCACATCAGCTACAAAGAACTGTCAGTTCCTTTCCTGTATTCAAGTTGCACAATATTATGTCTACAAAGATTTGTACGTATACGATTAGGAAGAAAATAAGAGAATAGATGTGCATTTCACAGTTTGTAAATGTAACTGGCATTTGTAGACCACTAACAAAATTGGTCAAGAACATATACAATAAACTCAAGCAATAAAACACATCTCAGAGCAGAAATCAGATCTCCAGATTTAGGTGCAGCGTTAGGTGTTGTGCATGGCATTTTCAGGTCTGGTCAGTAAATGAACCTCAGAGTATCAATATTTTAAAACCCTGAATGTCCAGCATATAGCACTTTGCAGTAAGAAATTATGAGTTCTATTGTATAATATCTAAAACCAGTGCTTGGAGAGCTGCTTCCCATTAGCATGTGTGTGACAGTGATGCAGATTTAAAATGGCTGACGCTTCAAAGGAAGTTTTACTGAAGCTGAAGGTGTACAGAATGCACTTCTAGTTTCTCTTTATTTGCTGATGAGGATCTACTGTGTTCTTTTGCAAAGACTGAGTATTATCAAAAATCTATACAGTTCTCTGAGAGTGGGAAGGACAGGACACGGTATGAAAGCAGTTAAACCCCAGGACAGCATAGGCAGTGCAGGGAGGACCATGCAAGTGAGCTACCTTTGTTATCAAAGCTTTGTGGATTGCTTTCCAGGAGCAGGATTTAGACGAGGTTGTTTCTCATGTGTTGTAAGCTTTGGACGCTGCAGTGCCCCTTGCCATGCCATAGTTAGACCTTTTCTTTTCCCAGAATTCTTGCTTGACTGATATTTGAACTGTTCTGTAGTGCCTTGGCAGTACTTCCCATAGCTCCCATACCACTGACAAGGGGAGTTTATATCTGGACATGCCAGGTAGGAGTATTTTTTATTGTTTGCTTTCCTCTTGTGAAAAATAAATTAAATTTATCTGGCTTTAAAATTAATTTCTGTGCATCATTAAAACCACTATTGTCAAAATTATGAGAGCAACAGTGTGTGTATCTTATGTGTATTTGTTCTTAAATTTGATCTTGAACTGTTGGACCAGCTTTAGTGCTTGTTTCTAAAACTGAACGGAGAGTCAACCCTGTAAGTTATTTACAAAGAAAAAAGTTCCTGCAGCAGACATTGACTTTTTAAGTAAGGCTTTTCTCATATGAGACAGTGTCATGCTAGTAAGAAAATGAGAAGAAATGTCTATATAATGAGCTGGTTTTAATCCTGTATTCGGAGTAATTAATACTTCACTTCAAAATGAGAGGCTCTGACGAGGGGGCTTCTCTTTGGAAAGGCGTTCTCCTGGGACGAGTGCTGTGCAATGCTTTTGGTTAAGCAGCTGAATTATCTTAGCAAGCATGGCCAAAGGCATTAAGCTGGGAGGGGACCCAAGTATATTGGGTGATAAAAGTGTAAAATGCTTCCTGCTCTTTCTCTGGTTTGCGAGGAACAGAGCCCAGATCAATGAGGAAAGCACACAGTGCATATCAGGCATATTTTGCTTTGAACAGCTGTCTGAAAATTAGACTTCACTGTAAACCAGTACTTTAACTATCCAATTTGCCTTGCTAAATTGTGAGGAGTGCCTCTCTTGAGGGCAGTTCATCCCACGTACATCTATGTTAGCATGGGATGTGATGCAGTCACTCTTCACTGAGCTCAGATGCATTTTGTATAGGCTGGTTTAGATTAGATTGGACATCCAACCTTTGAGAAGGTGTCCTTTAGTAGACATCCAGCTAAGAGTGAATTGCACCCTTGGTTAGAAATGATTTACTGCAGGAGTACAGAACACCTGGCTGGGCAGAAGTCCTTCAATGGACGATATGTGACCATTCTACCAGATTGCAAACTTTGTGCATCAACAGCGTCATACCACTTACAACAAAAATAGACCTTATGCCGAGATGCATTGACAGCAGTGCAAAATGCATAAAATAACCTCTTCTCCTACATGATGTTCTGAAGGTTAAAGTTAGAATATGTCCAGTTTTGGTTACTGCAGTTTAAAAAAATTATAATCATCTGACAGCTAGGGAGAGGGAAATACAGCAACATGATTGGAAGTCTACGAGCCATGACCCTGAGATAAATTGCATTGCTTTGTTTTGAGAGGAAATTATTGAGGGGAGAAACAGTTACATAGAAGTTTCTGCAGAGAAGATGTTAACAAGCTATTCTGTATTGCCAGTGAGGTCAGGAGAAGAAAAAAAACCCTGTAAAATGTAGCAAGGAAGTTTTGGTTGAGGTAGGAGATATTTTGAACTGTAAGGCATGGAAAGTATTGAAACACATGACATGGTAAGCTGTTGGATTACCATCTTTGGAATCT